GTTTCATGCAAATCGGAGAAGGTAGATTTTTTTCCGATTCGTCATTTTGCGTTGAACTGCTCCAATGATGGATTACGTCACGTGTGTAAAAAAGTTACGGAGCCTTGGAAGCTATCCAGACTTCAAGAACCCCTTGATGGTTTCAGAAGTTATTGTAGTTTTGAATGTTACAAATTCTTTGACTTCCGGCAGTTTCAGAAATGATTCAGTATAGTAGACAGAGTTAATTGTGAAATAACTAATAGAATTTCCCGCCGTTTCTAGGGAAAGTTAAAGGAATCAATTAGCTTAGTTAGTTCTTATTAACGCAAACATTCTTTCGCATTTATACATGTATATTAGACAAGTTTATACCCCCGGGTAAACTTGATGCATTAATATGCTAAAGAAAGATGCATAAATGACGTAGCATTTTAGGGTGCCCTGTGAAAATAGTAAACATTTAGTTAGGGGAGGTGCATAAATGGCGTCTCATTTTAGAGTGACCAGTAATGAAGAAAATACCGCTTCAAGTTTTTGTTTTAATAACTTTATTATTGAGTATTTTAGCACTTGGCTAGTTCATCTCATATACGCTACAAGGGTGCTTCATGAAAAACGTTTGTTTACGTTTGATGAAACACCAACGTTTAACGTTTGTTAACGTTTCATGAAGCACCAACTTTGGTTCCCATCCTTGTAGCGTATTTTTCTACATGGCTGGTCACTCTAAAATGAGACGTCATTTATGCATGTTCCCCAAATCAATTTGCACTACTCACTCAGTCTCTTATCACTCATTTACTTCTCATCCATCCACTTCTCACGTCCTGGCCTATAATTTACTTACTCATATAGCGAACTTGTTTTTAATTCAGTTCCAGCTTGGATCGTCAAACGTCAGTGTGAACGTTTGTCTTTGTAAGCTGGCTCGGGGTAAGATTGGCACTGACAATATGCTCGGGTTCGCACGGGTTGGAACTGGTTCCACTCTGGATAATAAACAAATTCGCTAATAGTCTCATTATCTCACTTTCCTTTTGCCATTCTCAGTCAGTCAATCCAAGAGAAAAAGAACTAGATCAGCTTTACACGTTTATAAATATCTGGATCAACAATAGACGAGGGCCCATCAGCATTTATAAACAAACCGTTCCAAAGCCCATTCCTCACAAATCGAAGGCCGCCCACACAAACCAACACCATCATCGTGTAGGTAGAAGTTTCCCCTATCCGATGATGGTTTGGTTTGGGAGGGGGTGTCTTCGCTTTGTAAGTAAAGGGCTTTGGAACGGTTTGTTTACAAATGCTGATAGGCCCTTTTCTATTGTTGATCCAGATATATTCCTAGTTGAATATCCCTGAAGGGAGACGTGCTGTCAAATCCGCCTACTGATCATTTATGTAAACAAACCGTGTATCCATCCTCTTCTCACTTCCTGGCGCATAATTCACTTACCTAAACACTACACGATAACCGCCAAAACCTCTTTTATAACTATAAAGTACGCAATGGTGAAGGAAAACGGAACTACTCATAAAATGATTAAAATGTATGCATTTATGAGTAATTGCTAGTACAAAACTAATAAAAGTTTTTAATTTATGATACTCATAAAAGGAGTAAACAATACACATATTTTATGGGTAGTTCCTTTTTCCCTCGAACATGAATACTTTATAGCCTAAATTAAGTTCTTCGTTTGCGTATTTTGCGGTTTCCGCGGAGGGTGGTTTTTCGGTATTTTTGGCGTTGGCAGAAGTTTTGTTTAAAACACAAATCTAAAAAGTCTTAAACATACAAATCTTGCGTCACTTTTCAAATAGACTAATAATGTAACATATCCACCATTTTGAGAAAATCGAAGTTGAAGTTCGACAGATTATTATTTAACCTGTTTAGAAACAATACATTTTGCAATACTATTTTTAATATAGTCAGTGAATAATAACGTTGAAAATTCAGTAGAAACGTTAAAATCGCAATTTTGATTTGAATTTCATGCTACAATATAGCAAAAACCACAGAGAACGTTTTGACTAGTCAAGTTGTACATCGGGCACGTTACATTGGACGATTTTTCTCAATGACATAATCAATTAGTGTTACATTGGACGATTTGTTCTACATGATACTAGATTCCCTTTCACAGATGTCATAGTAGAGTACCTAACTTTAGATTGGCCCCGCCTTTAGAAAATGAGCACCAATCATGTTAGGCAGTCCGAATGACCGAAGTAACAAACATGTATCCATCATTTCAAACTGTATATTGGACAATTTTTGACCTATGATTATCTTAAATAAATGAAAGTAAATTTGGATGGATGTTTTTGTATCACATACAATGATATAAGAGCAATAGTTTGTATCGCTTAACTCGATTTGTTTACATTTGTTACATTGGTCTATTTGAAAAGTGACGCGAGAAATGTGATAGAGAGTAAGAGTGATAGATAAAGTGAACTATGGGCCTTATTATGTAAGCCGAATCGAGCGTTAGTTCTGATCACTGGTTTAATTTAATATTACCTCTGTGACCAGAAGTGACGCTTGACTCAACATTCATAATAAGGTTCTATGTCAAATGGATCTGTTGTTAGCTGTGAAAAACTGTATTATTTTTTACAAACCTGAGCTTAAAGAGCATTAAAGTACAATACAATGCAAAGCGAACAATCGACAAGAATAAAAATATCATCTTGTTTAATCCCAACAAGTTCGTGCCTAAAAATAGGAAGATTTGCGCATCATCCTCCCTGCTCCATCGAGGTGAAGTGTTGGTGCAATCACAGACAAACAGACGTAACTCTTCATTGTGTATCTTCGTTCATGCATTTAACGGTTGATTTGAATATTATCAGTTCCGCGAACTACTCGCCGCAGCGCTGGCATCGGATCACTTTGACGTTTCTATAAATTCATAGAACTTTTATGCAATATTGTTTACGAGTTAGCGAGCAAGCTTGATTTCCACGAGAAGCCAGAGAGATGTCGTTACTGAGGTTATATGTTTTGAGATACTATGTTTTCAAGAGCAAGTTTTTCAAAGAGTTACGTCTGTTTGTCTGTGGTGCAATTGCCAATGGCACTTTTTATATGGCTCTCTTCTTCCCGCGATTCGACGTTCGATTACGATTACACTTTTAGCAGCCTTCTACACCTTTCAAGGGCAAACTGCACGTAAGCACTCAGCGCGCATATCCACGTCGCAAAATCCCTCAGCAGAACTGGGACCTGCATCAATGAATATAAGTAATCAATATATAATCATCATAAAGCGACTGAACTTGGATTAGACCAAGGCAAAGCAAATAAAAACACTCATAATAAACCGATGTCACAAGTTGATTTGTATATTTATTGCCCGGAAGGATCGATACCTCGCTACGATGCAACCGGTCGGCGCATCGGCTAGTAAGTTGGTATGTGTCCACAATAGCCATCCATCGACTGCATGCATACCGTTTAAAAATGTGTCGCGCCTTTTCGCTCAATGGACACAAGTTTAAGGTCGTTCACTATCCACATGGCGGCGCATGCTACCGAAGCTATTAATGCGTGATCAATCTGTAGGTAGGTAATAAGGATGAACACTGCCGCAGAATAACGGAACGTGCATGCCATTTAAATGTTATAGATTCGAATTTTCAATTGTTGAATTTGGAGCATTTCCGATCGTCATCATAACGCTCGCTAAATGCCCACACAAACAGTACCAAGTGATACATTCCTTATTATGTTCGCTGAACTCACCACAATCAAATTAGCACCCGACCTGATGGATCATAGGTGTGAAGATCATTTGCCGTCATCGTCGGTGGTTCCTCGAAAACTAAATCAATCACCGTCAAAGTGATCACATGTTTCCCCTCGGGGGAATTTGTTTAAAATATGAAATACCGATTTCTCGATTACTTTCTCGAAGGGACGTATCAGCTTTTGTAAACAGTGCATTTGATAGTCGGTTTGGCGTAACTGATTGGTCGGGTGAATGTATAGAAACGTGAGAATTTTTACAACAGAGAATCTAATTTCTTGTATTTTGACCGTCGACTGCGTCGCCCATAGTGAAATAGTTTTTGCACGGTCGTTTTCGCGAGAAAAGAACACGTCACAGACAAAAAGAAGCCAGTTCTCTCCTCTTCCTCTTTGATTAAAGCTGGGTTTAGACAGGGCAAGTCAATTGATCAAGTCAGTTGAATTCAACTGACTTGAACGCGAATTGAACGTGTAAACCATGCCATTCAACTGACTTGATCAACTCACTTGAATTGAAAAAAGTTGAACCAGGCTCAACTTTTCAAGTCAATTGAATTCAACTGAGTTGATCATTTGACTTGCCTAGTCTAAACCCAGCATTATGCTGGGTTTAGACTAGGCAAGTCAAATGATCAAGTCAGTTGAATTCAACTGACTTGAACGCGAATTGAACGTGTAAACCATGCCATTCAACTGACTTGATCAACTCACTTGAATTGAAAAAAGTTGAACCAGGCTCAACTTTTCAAGCCAATTGAATTCAACTGAGTTGATCATTTGACTTGCCCTGTCTAAACCCAGCTTAATTCCAACTCTTCCAGTCGAAGTAGACAGCAGCCAACGTTTGCTTTTTCAAAGGGACGTATTTTGTAAACAAAGATTCAAACGCCAATTTGTCAAAACTCTAAGTACCCCCACGCAAACTAACAACGCTATCTTGTTGAGGAAACATTACCCTCTCTGATGTAGGTGCTAAGAGTTTCGACAAATCTATATTTGAATCTTGGTCTACAAAAGCACATACGTCCCTTTGAGAACGTAATCGAGAAATATTTAGAAAAAAATGGAATGAGGGATGAACTAGGCCAGATCGCTTCATTTTAATCATTGCGGCAAGGAACTGTTCAAATATGACGTCCATTCTTGAGGGATGGGTTTAAGAATTTGGGACAGTTTTGTCCGGTACTGTACACGTCTGTGAATTGCTTGTTGAGTGCAACTGCTTGATATAATTCATTTAAATCTTTTTCCTTTGCAGGAAAGAACATCTGCATAACCCGGAACTGACTGACAGTTTCGGTGACTATTGGAAGTTGGGTAAATCAAAACATGATAAGAAATATAACGATTTCCACGAACTGCAGGCCGACTTCAAGGAACTGCGCTTTAAGAATAAAGCTAAAACCAAGAAAATGATGAGCAAAGGCCGCAGAAGAAAGAGACGCAAGAAATCGAAATTCCACTTTGAAGGAGAAACATTCAAAGATCCGGATCCGTATCAGCTGGCGGTCCGGAAAACGCAGTATGGAAAACAAAGTAACAAATTTGTTTTCGAAGGCGAAACATTTAAAGATCCAGACCCGTACGGTTTGGCCATTCGGAAGAGCTCTGGCAGCAGCATTAGTGACAAGGATGTACGGTCCGAATACATGACCCAGTTGCATCACGCACATCCTGGCCTGGTTCATGGTAGTACAGAGTATTGCAACAGGACTGCGTATGTTGGAAAGCTGACCGATGACGAAGACGAAGCGGATAGCTGCAATTACGACGATGAGGGCGGATGCTTTAATCGGGCAGCTTTGGCACAATTTCTGGCAGTTGGGGTGAAGAACGTGCTGCTTCTTGGGTACGGAATGACCTTGGGCTTTCCAACCATCGTCATTCCGGCCATTCAAGGAGGTGAAGGTCGTGGACCTAGTATGGAAAAGGGTTTTACACTCAGTAAAGAGGAAATATCCTGGCTCAGTTCGATTAATCTCATCTGCGTACCGTTGGGATGTGTGTTCTCCGGAATGCTAACTCAACCGATTGGAAGACGACGAGCTATGCAGGTTTGTACGTTTGATTGATCCGAGTAAGTTTCGTACTAAACAAAACGATCATTGCAGATAGTTAACATTCCGATGTTCATTGCATGGATTCTATTCCACCTGGCTGAAGACGTACATTTCCTGTATTGCGGTCTGGCTCTGGCCGGCTTCAGTGGCGGCCTGTCCGAAGCACCGGTATATACAACTGATAACGCAAATGTATTAATATTATAAATCACTTAAAGATTCCCTTTTCTGCAGGTTCTCACTTACGTAGCTGAAATCACTCAACCACGATTCCGAGGTATGCTAGCCGCTACGGGATCAACGTGCGTTATTCTCGGTGTACTGATTCAGTTCCTCATGGGCAGTTTCCTACGGTGGCGAACCGTAGCCCTGTGCAGTGCCTGTCTTCCGATTATCTCGTTCACTCTGCTGTTCATCGTTCCCGAAAGTCCCGTATGGTTGGCCGGAAAGGGCAAACTTCAGGAAGCTAAGCAGGCACTGGCCTGGCTTCGGGGATGGGTGCCGGAGGAACGTATAGAGCAAGAATTCAAAGAATTACAGACACACCTAGAGAAAAATGTAGAACTTCATAAGCATGACACTCTAGTGAAAAAGGTGAAACTGTACACTAGCCGACCGTTCCTGAAACCGTTTGCTCTCATCAGTCTGTGTTTCTTCATAGGGCACTTCTCCGGGATGACAACGCTGCAAACCTACGCTGTACAGGTAAGCTTTGTGGCGGACCATGGGGGGAACACCAAACTTCGACTTCAATTCATCGTTTGCAATCACCGACTTCTAGTTGTCTAGGATCTGATATGGTAGTTGCATCAGTGTTAGATATAGTAAACAACCGTTGCTATGTTAAGTAATCGCATTTATTTTACAAAGCAGTAGTGCAGCGGGACCCACTAAAAACTGGTGCATTATATGTTCAAAAACGCGATAGCATCTATGAAATTAATTGGAGTTTGACTGAAAAATTCAAATACAGTCAACTCTCTATAACTTGTTATTGGAAGGGACCGTCGAGTTGTAGAATTATCAATTTATAGCATATGATAACAAATTTTATTCATCCATAATTTCAAGAATAATCGCGAAATATTCCATCTACTGTAATAACTGGCCTCAAGGGGGAGAGGGTCCCAAGTTGGTGCTTCATCAAATGTAATTACACGTTTAACGCATCTTCCCTAAGCTTCCGGCCTCCACGCTCTTTATTGCTGGAATGCTAACTTTTCATCTAACACACTATCTAAGTGACATACACTACCCATAATCGCTTATCAGTCCCATCTTTGCTTGATTTCCTATCCATATGGGACTGATGTGCGATTATCGGCAGTACACTACGTGATCAACTGCTAATTGAGTTTCCCGATACATTCTAATACAACCTAATAATATCATCAACTATCTTTATCGAAATACGTATGTTTAATTCATATCTCATTTTCAAACCACAGATTTTCCACACGCTGAAGGCACCCATCGACAAGTACTACGCAACGACACTGCTAGGAGCAGCAGAACTGCTCGGGACCCTGTTCTGCGTTGGCCTAGTGCGATACAGTGGCAAACGTCCGCTGGTGTTCGTATCAACCATCGGTTGCGCCATCTGCTTTTTCTCAGTGGCAAGCTATGCCTATGTCCTACACATGATTCCCGGACCTTCGGTGAACAACGTTGTGGCCAATGTTTCAGCCATCAAAACAGATACCCGGGTTATACCGTTGAACCATACGGAAGTCCTTTCGATCATACAGGATGACCACTTGGCTGCCTTGGTTCAAAACTTCACCAACGACACTTCCAGCATGCAAGATCGCAACGGCTCCGCCGTTATCAGATACAACAACCTAAACTTTACACCCTTTTACATAAACGGTTCGTATGACGATACCGTCAACAAAGACATCCGCTACGGCGAATACGTCCGGACAGTATTTCCCAAAGATGTTCTAGTCAAAATTCCAAATGCCAACGAAAACAAGTATCTATGGTTACCGCTGACGCTCCTGTTGGGAAGTGCTTTCCTAACTCACATGGGAATACGATTGATACCATGGATGCTGATTGGTGAACTGTTTGCACCGTCCATTCGAAGTGGAGCTTCTGGAATTGCCGGTGGAACGGGATACATTTTTGGATTCCTCGCAAATAAATTTTTCCTAAGGATGCTAGCTGCTTTCACCCTGCCTGGCACATTTTGGATGTATTCCGCAATCACTATCATCGGTGCCATAATACTGTACTACTATCTTCCGGAGACGGAGGGAAAGAGCCTTATCGAAATAGAGCAATACTTTGCAGTGAAACGAAAGGACAGCATTCATTTAGATTTGGAAGCAGAATTAAGTCCTCCAAAACCGAAATCGAGATACTCGGTGGCTTCAATTGCCATGCCACCTCCACCTCTTCCACCACGATCGCATCCTTTGAAAGACGACCTGGGACGAATTCGTAAAACCTCTCACATTGCACAAACGCGGAAGATTTCCGAAACGTCGGCCCATGCACGTAAAATATCGGATGTATCCAGGAAGATATCAACTACCTCTTCAATACACTCGGCTCAATCTTACACGATGACTGAAGGTCCGAAGCCAATCTCGGCGATGATCGAATACTACCGTCAAATTTCTGCTGGAAGGAACCCCCTTTCATTACCTCCCGTTGCAGCATCCGTCGACCAATCGACGCTGATTTCAGCTCCTCAATCAAAAACCATAGCGATAACACAGCCGGCAAAACCTCAATCCACGGATCATAGCTCATCAACTCAGCAGCGGTACAGAAAAATATCGGAAACGAAACGCAAAATTAGCAGCATACTCAACCCAGTACTGGAAGTTCCATCACATATAACACCCGTAGAGCAAGCGTCCAAACCCATGCACTACAACCCGCGCCCAATACGTAAACCTGTACTAGCGTTGGATGGTTTCGACGTTCGGAACTGGGAGAGCAATATTAAGTTCGAGGAAATGCTCCGCAAGCGACGGAAGAACGATGATTGGAATGATGTAGAGCCACAGCAATCGGGCACTTCCGTCAGTCAACATGACCTGAGGCAGTTGGAACAGCACATTCAGCAGCGCGATGCTCATATTATGGCTATGGATCGACGAAAGAGTAGACAGAAGTCGGGAAGTTTGAAAAAGCTAACCAACGGGTATTCCAATCCGGCTTTCGAAGGCAGCAATGAGGATGATGTGCATGAAACTAAAATGTAACGGGAGAGCTTCCTGTGGGGTAGAGTTGTTGATATGTTTATAGAATCTGAATAAAGAGGAGAGTATTAATTAATGGTTATTTATCTTGAAGAAATAAAAGAACTAACTTATTTGAACAAATGATCTTCTGGATGTTGGGATCATGCTAATAAAACATCACAATACGTAAAACAAACGTGAACAAACAGTGACTTTCATTGATTGGAAACATATAGCTGCAATTTTTCGTTGATTGCGGTTACCACTTCGAGAAACTTTATAAGCTCACAAACAATCATGCTTCTTGAAAATAAAACAAATAATGAAAATGATCCTATAAATTTATTCTCGAAAAATATGTATGAATTGAATAAGCAAAGCAAGGATCAAATCTAACCTCCATTTCCTCACTCTGTATTCTTTTGTCTACCATGATTTTTTTAAACAAATATTATTTACTAAAGTTGATATTAGATGCAGATCGCAAAATGGTGATAAGAACGAAAAAAATTCAAAGTCACGGGAAATTGACAGGTTTTATAAGTCAAACACCAGGTCAAACACATACTTTTCAAACTCAACAAAACTTCTTTTTATAGCAAGTGAGAGGAAGTAAACCTGGTAATAAGTACACGATAGTAGTGAAACTTTGAGAAACGATTCTATAGGGAATGTACTTTTCTATTTTAGAGCAAAACATGAAAATTAGTCACATCAAAATATCGAATTTCGACCAACCTGTACTCCACTGTGCACACTGGCACAATTCCCCCACGTATTTAAGGTTATTTGAGTTCACCTTCCATAAACAAACTATGGCTCATTCACAACATCTGAAAATCCCTGCTCATAAATTCCACGATCTTTCATCTCAAAGCGCCATCTGAGCTTCATTGATAACGAGTCAATCGGGAAAACAATCTGTCTGGGGATTGCTGAAGCAGATTGAAAATCCGATAGGATTAACCAAAGACCTGCGCTTGCACATTGACAACGAATAGATTGCGTTTGAGCGACTATAAAATGGAACAAACTTTCTAGCTAGAGCATCAAAGTCAATCACGACTCAGTGCATTCCACAGTTAACACACTAAGTGATAGTTTCAAAACTATAAAACCAAACAAAATGAAATTCTTTGCTGTTTTCGCTCTTATCGCCAGCGCCATCGCTGCCGTGAGTTGTGCGCCGCAGTTTGGATTTGGAGCATCCGGTGCAGGAGCCCAAGCAGCATCCCAAGGAATGGGAATGGGAGGCTTTCCCGGCATGGGCATGGGAGGCGGCATGAGTGCTTCGAACGCTAACGCTGGTGCTCAAAGCGTGGGCATGGGAGGATTCCCCGGTATGGGCGGTGGCATGAGTTCTTCAAACGCCAACGCTGGTGCCCAAGGCGTGGGCATGGGAGGACCTTTTGGCGGAATGGGATCATCGATGGCGAATGCAGGAGCCCAAGGAATGGGTCAAGGATTCGGCGGATAAACCTTCGTTGGTTTGGTAGAGACCCCCCCAGGTGTTCAAGTCTAACAACTTCTGCAAAAGCTACTCTAGTCATCGAATGGAGACGTTGTAGATGAAAAATCGAAAACTAATTTATACAGACAGTCTAGAAATCACATTCAATTATAACTCTTAAGTCAAATAAAAAAAATATATTACTATAGAAAACGGCTTTCTAACTTGACGATAATTCTTCGAAATAAATCAATCAAGAAATGCTACAAATTAGACAAGACTTAATTGAATATCGATGAATCTACAAAACCTCTTGGAATTATGAACTCGCATGAATCCAAATATTTTTTCTACGTATGAAGACCCTAAATATTGTATCTTTATGTTTGAAAAAGTATATATAACAATATATCAATACCAGAGACCTAAGCCGAATAAACTCACTTAATCTCACTCATATATCTTACGCACCCCTAGTGATGCATAGGGCCAACGTGAAAGATTTCCATCCTGGACGGTTGCTCGCTTATGCCTTGACCTGGGCACAGGTACGATTCCCGTCGATTTCCTTTGTTTGCTTGTTGAGGCTCCGCCACCATGCACCCCTGGGTCTGTCCCTGCTGCGATGTCCTGACGGGTTCCAATCCAGCGCTTGCTTGCAGATTTCGTTTCCGCTCCTTCGAAGTGTGGCCGACCCACCTCCACTTACGATCTCGAATTAATGTTGATATCTGCTTCTGATAACATCGAGGATGGAGCTCAACATTCGAGATCCAGTTGTTAGGCCATCAGGCACGAATTATATGACGGAGGCATCGGTTGATGAAGAGCTGCAGTTTTTGAGTGTACTCCGCTGATGCACACCAAGTCTCGATGGCGCATACCTTCACAGATTACACGTTTGAATTGAATTTTGGAGCGTTGACTTATCTGGTAAGATCTCCATACATTCCATAATATAATAGGATAACATTATTATAAAAAAAAATCAATATCGCTCCACCCGGATCACCCCTATCGGATGTGATTTACACTGAAAAATACGAAAAAAGTTAAAGCAGGGAGGTAGGGTAGGGAGACCCGACGACGAGAAAGAAGCGTTCTATGCGCAGCTGGAGCAGGTGTACGACGGCTGTTCGCAACGGGACGTCAAAATCGTCATCGGTGACATGAAGACTCAGGTAGGACGGGAGGCAATGTATAGACCGGCAATCGTGCCAAACAGCCTGCATGCCGTATCGAACGACAACGGCCAACGATGCGTGAACTTTGCAGCCTCCCGGGGTATGGTAGTTCGAAGTACCTTTTTCCCTCGCAAGGATATCCACAAAGCCACCTGGAGATCACCTGACCAACACACAGAAAACCAAATCGATCACGTTCTAATCGACGGGAAATTCTTCTCCGACATTATCAACGTCCGCACGTACCGCAGTGCGAACATAGATTCGGACCACTACCTAGTTGCAGTATGCATGCGCTAAAAACTCTCGACGGTGCATAACACCCGTCGAAGTCGAACGCTGCGACCCAACATTGAGCAACTACGGGACGTCGGAGCTGCCCAGAACTACGCGCAGCAGCTGGAAGTTGCACTACCCACGGAAGAGCAGCTTGGCGCAGCTTCTCTTGAAGATGGCTGGAGGGACATCCGTTGAGCCATAGGTCGTACTGCTGCAGCGGCACTAGGTTCTGCAATCCCGGACCGAAGAAATGACTGGTTTTTACGGCGAATGCAAACTGTTAGTAGAGGAGAAGAATGCAGCACGGGCGAGAATGCTGCAACACCGCACGAGATTGAATGTGGAGCGATACAGACAAGCGCGGAACAGACAAAACTCGGTTTTCCGAAGGAAGAAGCGTCAGCAGGAAGATCGAGATCGCGAGGCGATGGAAAATCTGTACCGCGTAAACGACACACGGAAGTTCTACGAGAAGCTAAATAGTTCGCGCAAAGGCTACGTGCCGCAAGCCGATATGTGCAAGGACTTGGACGGTAACCTTCTCACGAACGAGTGTGAGGTGATTGAGAGGTGGAAGCAGTACTATGACGAGCACCTCAACGGTGAAGCAGCAGAAAACGAAGGTGGCACGGCAACAGACCTTGGAGCACGCACAGAAGACGACAGGCTACCGGCCCCTGATCTTCAAGAAGTTGAGGAGGAGATCGGTCGGCTGAAGAACAACAAAGCAACTGGTGTAGATCAACTACCAAGTGAGCTATTGAAATACGGTGGTGAAGCACTGGCTAGAGCGCTGCACTGGGTAATTGCCAAGATTTGGGAGGAGATATTACCGGAGGAGGAGATATTACCGGAGGAGTGGATGGAAGGTGTCGTATGCCCAATCTACAAAAAGAGCGACAAGTTGGATTGCTGCAACTACCGCGCGATCACACTGCTGAGCACCGCCTACAAGGTACTCTCCCAAATTCTATGCCGCCGTCTGTCACCATATGCAAGAGAGTTCGTGGGGCAATACCAGGCGGGATTCATGAGTGCCCGCGCTACCACGGACCAAATTTTCGCGATTCGGCAGGTTCTGCAGAAATGCCGCGAATACAACGTGCCCACACATCATTTGTTCATCGATTTCAAATCCGCATACGACACAATCGATCGAGATCAGCTATGGCAGATTATGAACGAGTACGGATTTCCGGATAAACTGACGCGATTGGTCAAGGCGACGATGGATCGAGTGATGTGCGTTGTTCGAGTATCGGGGACACTCTCGAGTTCCTTTGAATCTCGAAGGGGGTTACGGCAGGGTGATGGACTTTCGTGTCTGCTGTTCAACATCGCGTTAGAAGGTGTGATCAGAAGAGCTGGGATAGACACGAGTGGCACTATATTCAGGAAGTCCATCCAGCTCCTTGGTTTCGCCGATGGCATTGACATTATGGCACGGAACTTTGAGATGATGGTGGAAACGTACATCAGACTGAAGGCTGAAGCTAGACGGATTGGACTTGCCATCAACGCATCAAAGACAAAATACATGAAAGCAAGAGGTTCTAGGGAAGACAATGTTAGCCTCCCACCCCGAGTTCAGATTGACGGTGACGAAATCGAGGTGGTCGATGAGTTCGTGTATTTGGGCTCACTGGTGACCGCCGAAAATGATACCAGCAGAGAAATTCAAAGACGCATTATGGCAGGGAATCGTGCCTACTTTGGACTCCGGAGGACGCTCCGGTCGAAGAAAATTCGCCGCCGCACGAAGTTGACTGTCTACAAGACGCTGATTAGACCGGTGGTCCTTTACGGCCACGAGACCTGGACTATGCTCGTGGAGGACCAACGCGCCCTTGGTGTTTTCGAACGGAAGGTGTTGCGTACCATCTACGGTGGAGTGCAGATGGATGACGGAACGTGGAGGAGGCGAATGAACCACGAATTGCACCAGCTGCTGGGAGAACCATCCATCGTCCACATTGCAAAAATTGGGTGACTACGGTGGGCTGGGCACGTCGTAAGAATGCCGCACGATGACCCAGTAAAAATGGTTCTAGAAAGCGACCTAACAGGAACAAGAAGAAGAGGCGCACAGCGGGCAAGGTGGATCGACCAAGTAGAAGGTGACCTGCGGAC